CTAAATTATAAAAACAATTCGAACAATTAAATAATAAAAAATTAAGAAACAAAATAAATAAAAGTCTATAATTAAATAAAAACTTTACAATTGTTGTTAAACAAACAAAATTAAATAAAAACATAAAGAAGTAAGCAACTATATCGATGCCGGTATCTTGAATGTGTTCTTCAGGAAGGTGGTTTTCTGTATCGGTGAGGATTTCTTCGTATAACTTGTTATGCCTCTTCACTTTTATCATCATCGTCGTCGTCGTCATCGTCATCATCATCAGGAGCATATACATTTTGTTGATGAGGGACGAATGATGATATATCACCTCCATAGAATAAGGACCTTAGAGGTATATGGCTGACTATCTCATCGCTCACAGAAAACTGTGAAAACTGCAAAAAGACCGACATCGATGAGTTCAAAAACTGTACCGAAGGTATCTGTGCATGTGGTGAAGCTTCACCCACCAAATAACCAGCATATGAACCCCAAGTTAGATATGTAAGCATAGAAGTATAATATCCGCCATGAGGGGTCATAAAACTCTAAGGTGGTGGTGGCATTTGGTTTGGAAGCGGTGGCGTTTAACATGGCTGCAGTGGCATATGAAATGGTTGTTATGCCATCTGATATGGCTGTAGTGTAATCTGAAATGGCTGCAAAATGTACAACGGTGTAGACAGTGGCTGCTGTGATGGTTCTGGTGCTGCAACTGAGAACGATCCGGAAGCACATGCTCTTCGTCCACGAGTCGGGGGACGATGATGCTGTGATGGTGGATGTCTTTGTCAACATCGATGAATGCTCATGCCTTGTGCTTCCTCGGAAAGTAGAAACGCTTTCTCGTTCGTGTTGAACTACTAATAATAATCATTCGCAACCGAGTAACAATCCACATAAATGGATTATGTATGGGGAATGCGCCACGTCAATCCTCCCATATCATTACCCACTTAATGTGCTTCAGCAGTCAGTCGACTTATTTTTTGCCCCGTCTATCGATGATATGCAAATCATTGAGATTCTTACGTTCTTCCAGAATAGATTGTACAAAAATAAATTGGCGGAGCACGCGATCAGTAGGATGCCACTCGACAATAGCATAACATATCAGAGGGATCACCGCCATCCAGACATCTAATGGGCCTCTTAAGTGATACGGGATGAAAATCTTCATTTCTTCAGTAGAATAAGGAGCCCATTGAAACTAAAACAAATATATATAATTCTTATCAAAATAATATTATAATTATATAACGATAATTAAAAGTAGATAATAATATTTAAATATATACCTTTGTATCAACCTTCTGATCAATGAGTGGCCTATTTTCTTCCAATTCATCAGGTAAATTTTGATGATATTTTCTTGCACTTGACCACCTATTCAATGAAATAATTTTCATTATATACTCAACAAAATTATTTATATACGAAATCAATATTGAAATTATCTCAATAATAGCGGGAAGACCAATGAGTTTCACCACCAGACATAAAAAGGGGCATGCGATACCACGCCCAATACTGAAGAAGAATGAGACATCCACCGATAGCATTTTTTCGATAGTCAGTAGCTCGACACATTTCCCTATATAGAAGTGCCAAAAATGTAGAGCCCCAACTGAGTGTGTCAACATGATGAAAATCTGCGAGTTGACACAACCAAATACAATGAAATTGGTTGTGCGATTTGTCGAGCATCAAGATATCTCCTATGAGTTGTAATATGCAAGCACATGCATACATTTTAACCTGCACCTCGGAGGCGTCGCTACTCAAATGTTTGAAAGTTGTATCCAACTAATTTAACGGAATTCGACCACCGTTGAAATTAGGCGGGACATCTATAAGATACTCCTCGCAATGGCAGTCATCATGCGCCGCCCCAAAAATCACATCCCCATCTACGGAAAGCCCCAAATACATGAAAACATCCTCCAACGTAATTGTATACTCTCCACATGGAAGATGAAATGTGTGTATCTTTGGTCTCCACCTCTCAACCAATGTAGAAATAAGGTTGAATGCAAGGTTACAACGCCCTTCATATTTTGCTACGACCGAATCCAGCCTCAACTAAATACGTCCATACACTAATAGGTATCTCTAACTTAATTTTTACGGATGAATGAATCTAATATACGGTCTCTCCTAATTTAATAAATATTATAGAAATTAAAATATAAATTAATACTAAACAAATTAAATAAATAAATATTAACAATAATTAAAATTACAATATAATTTAAAATTATTACTATATCGGCAAAATGTATCGAGATATGATTATCATCTAAACGTAGCAAACAACTTTCTATTTTATAATTGTAAAAATTAATAAAAAGTTATTATAATAAAATTTAATAAAATAATAAATTATTGATTTATTATAATATAATAAAAATATTTTACCTTAAAAATAGAAAGATTGCTACTCGAAATAATGAGATAATTTGATTTTGATGTTGTGTTTTAGGGAAGATGAAGGTGTATTTATAGAAAGAGGGGATGGTAGACGAATTTCCTATAAATGTAAGAGGTAGACAGTTTGGGTATTAAAGGAAAGTATTCTACGTTTTATGTACACCTGTCAGAAATTCTTATAAAACACGAATGATAATTTATGTCTATCTTGACGTGATATCAATTCGGATAAAACATGAATCACGATCCATACATCTCTTGATGTAGCGCTAGCGTCTTCTCAAAAAAAAGTACTATATTAATAATATTAGAAGTTTCAATAAAATCGCCACATTTCATTGTTCTTTCTTTCCCATTTAAATACTTTAATATTGGATCAGAGCTGAAACAATTTAATACTAATAAAACGAAAAGGTAGAAGTAGAGAAAGGAGAATATGCTGCTGCTGCTGCTGCTGCTGCTGCTGTTGTTCTTTTACTGTCCTATACGAAACTCGAACCCAAGTGGTAGACTGTCAAGAAACGGTTCTCTCGTTCTGAGTGCATTAATAAAAAAAGCAATTCATTTCAACATTATTTTACCTTAAGTTGAAAGCTTGAAGCACTGTGAGATTTGGCAACACGTGGTTTCTGAGGAAAGCAAAACCCTTTGGTTTGAATTCAACACTTTCCCCTTTCTGGGTTCATCTTCAACTTCAAGGGTTTTGGAAACACACACCCGTTTCTTTGTACTTGTTTTCCTCATCGCCGCCGCCGTCGACGGAAGTTTTTCGCCGTTGAGGATCGAGAGTTGTAAATAAATGGAGGACGGCCGGAAGAGTGATGACTGGCTACCACCTGGATGGAAAGTAGAGGGGAGGCAGAGAAGGAATGGTAAAACAGATAAGGTATGTTCTAAATTGGTTAGTTTCTGTTAACAAACAACACCCATTTTTCAAGAATTTTGCTTTCTTTTTTCCTGCTATTTTGTTTCATTTCCAAGGTTTTATCTTTGAAACTGTAAGATCCTTGTTTTGTCTTTACATTGTTTTACTCTATATCTTCGGTTTTCTGCATCATTAGCAGTTTTATCCCCCTGATGTTCCGATTTTGTAGCATGTTAAAGATGAGATATTTAGCTTCAACTATTAAATCTGTTGTACTTAGCTCTTTTTATGTTTATTTATTGATTTTATTTTGTGGCTAGGATAGATGAGGAAATGATTTGTCCCTTTACTTGAGTGCTTGGAGGATGCAACAGCTGCTTTATCTATTTGGTTTTGTAGTTGTTGGAGGGTTGATGATGCAGTGATTATATTGTTTAATGGAGAGGTTTAGTTAATGTTAACTAGTTTCATGTTTGAAGGAAACCAATGGTTCTTGTGTAAAGCTTAGCTGGACTGTGAAATCATTGAGATCAATGAAAACTAAACTTGTGAGCAATAAGTTTCCTGAGTCTCCTACGAAAACGAAATCATTAGAAAGTAAATGTTTGCAATATGATCATATTAACCCTCGAGGGTGCGTCTCCGTTAACAATTCTAGCTACATATTTTCTCGTTTTCTGGGAAGGGGCCTTAAACAGATCGAGGAGTATTCATATTAGCTCTCTGAAGTGTAGTTAACTACCCTTTGTTCCATTTATCTTTGAATTTGTTTGGAGCGGTTCTAACTTGTACCTCACTCTTTCTTCTTGGAAAATAAAACGTAGAGTTGGAGATTGAATAATATTATCTTTAGATGAGGGAAACAGTCGTAGTATTTATGCTTATGTATTTAAATGTCTTATATCTGTTTATTTGTTTTGGCTGAGCAGTTTTCTCGAATTTCTTCTCTTGATTGACTTTTGAATACTAGTTGAGAGTTATGGTGGATGCGTCAAACAAATAAAACATCTCATTGGCAACTATGAATACGAGATGATTCATTTCAATGCTTACATGACGTTTGGGCTTATTGCAGTGTTACTATGGTCCCTATGGTGAACTTAGATTCTTTTCCGGGGCGGAGGTGACTCGCTATCTTGAAAAGCATGGTTCTAAAGCAGAAGAGAAAGAAAAAGTCTCGGGCAAGCAATCTTCAAAAAATGTCTGTTGATGAAATATGATCCTCTTTTATATTTATATATATATATAAAACTTTAAATATATGTTGATTTTTGCCGAAATTTGTTTGACTAAACAAGAATTTTTTTTGAATGTTCAAGCAATATAGGTTACAGTTGAGAAGGCTGAGGCAGAAGGGTTACCCCCGGGATGGACTAAGGAAGTCAAGATAACAAAGACGGGAAATAGAGTCAGAAAAGATCCTGTACTAAATTTTTTTCATTACATTTGTGTATGTGCTTTGCTTTCTAGTGAAATTTTACACTGATTATTGTTTCGTTAATTGATATTTATATTTCTGCAGTTTTACACCGACCCTGTGAGTGGATATGTGTTTCATTCCATGAAGGATGCCCTTCGTTATGTTGAAACCGGGGAGCTAGGAAAGCTTGCTATCAAGCCTAAGGAGAAAGGCAGCAACGATGAGGATTTAGAAGAAGATAATATCTGTGTAAATGTAATCATGTTTGATTTCTCCGAGCTTCTTTATTTGCATTTCTCGTTTAATTCTATATAAAACTTTGCTAACATTAGGTAATCTTATTTAATTTCCCCGGTTACATTTATTAGTCATTTGGATAATTTTATCAGCAATTCCGTCTTTCCTGGATACACATTGGCATCGACATGCAACTACGGCTCTAGAAAAGTTAGATAACACATAATTGATGCTACTCTTGAGATAAGTACTTGCATGTCGCTTGGTGAATATGAAGTTACAGATCGAGTTTGTATAGTCTTATTACAGATTTTCGTAAAAGTGAAGTTCTTGTGTTTTGGAGTCATCACCTTTGTCTTTCTCTTGGCAAGCAGATTATTATTCCGGTGTGCATGTCTAATATCTGGGGCGTATTTTCGTTTCTAAATCTTGGATGAATATGCTTAAAAGATTTGTCGTATTTGTTAAATGGTGTCATCCCTAAGTGATTGAAGCAGCATGTATCATCTCTTCCCTCGAGGAATTGTTCGTGGGTGGTCTACGTTGATGCAAATTACGCAAAACTTTGACTGGTTCGTGATTTTTGTTTCCTGTCCCTTGGGAGCCTGTAATTGTCAAGAGCCAGAAGGTAGCTGTGAATGGAACAACTTATGAAATAGAGAGGCAGACTGCGGAACATGTTTCAAATTCGAGTGGGATAACAAAGGAAGAAGAGATTCTTACTTCTGTTAGTACCGGAGAACAGACATCCCTCTCTAAACATACTCCGGATCAGCATAAAGGTTTAAATTTGCAATCCCTTGAAGCTCTGGTTAATGTCACGGGTTTTCATTCATATTAATCTATCTTTTTTTCATCATTCTTTGTGTTGCAATCCCCTGAATCTATTGTTTAATCTTTGGTAACGGACTGTTTGATTCTGAAAGTTGTGTCGGATTCCACTGATATGCTTATTGATGACATACGATAGGGTAATGAATCTGATCCAATTTTATCTTTTATGCCTCAGCTGGAGAAGGTGCAGAGTTGAGCAACTTGAACCTGTGTAAAGCTAAGAGCTCAGAACAGATGGAACAAAAAGATTCTGAAGAAAGTGTGCATGCTTCAGGCAATGCAGTTGGAGTCCTCTCGGATAAACAGTTAAGAGACGATATAAAAGATGAAACTGGAAAAACCCAACAAGGAAAAGGCAAGACCAAGATTAAGAAAGATGTTAATGTTCCTCGACGAGCTTCAAAGCGACTTGCTGGAGTTGCACTTGATCCAACACCAGAACTAAAAGCTACTAGAGCTCGTGGATCTTCGATTAACCAATCAAGTTTACCTGATGGAGCGAAGATTTCTTCCCCTGGTAACTGTATCAATAGGGTCTCCAAACAGCCCGACCTATCATGTTCTTCTTTGGAAACTAATTGTGCCCTTGATGCATCTAAGAGTAAAGAACTGATACGGGCAACAAGTAACATGCTTTCTTCTGGGGACATGCTAGCCATGAATGGTCATGTCGGAAATTTAGAAACAAAAACTAATGTCGACAAAGATAATAGCGTTTTGCCTCTGGGAAAGCTTGAAAGTGATGTAAATGCTAGTGATGTGCAAGTATCCTATATTGATATGCCTCTTGCAGATTTATGGACTGATCCATGCATTGCCTTTGCCATTCAAACTCTTACCGGAATTCCTTGTGATACCCCAAATATCTCTGAGTCAAACAGTGGTAAAGTTCCCTTGAATCCAAAAGCTCGATCCGAGAGGGAAGAAAACGGAAACAGAATTGTTGAAAGACAAGGATGTGGTATCAATATGCCTCCGACCGACCCAACTATTTGGAAAGAAAATGCCGGAAAGGTTGAAAAAGGCCACAAGATCGAGACGCCCGGATCATCCCTCGAGATGCCTTTGGCAGATATCTGGTCAGACCCGTGTATTGAATTTGCAATAAAAACTCTAACAGGGGCAATTCCAGTTGAGTACGGTCTGGACAATCAGCTTGGTTTTGAGCAGCAGCCAATCTCTGCCCCGCATCAATTTGTTAATCACTTGACCTTGCCGGACGCGGGTATGGATAAATTCTCGCAAGCCGATTTCATATGCCAGCAATATGACGTCGCAGGTAAGTCTAGGTCTAAAGAACATGGTATTAGAAATCCTATATGTAATTACAGTCATCATCGTCGCAATGGAGAGTGGCCATGAACGCCGAAGGCTATCAACTTCTAAGCTGTGTATATAGTTCAGGAAACTAGCCGGAATTCAGGAAAAGACTAGTAACTTTTGTTGTAACCTTTTTTCATGTTATGTTTTTCATTTGTGTAGACACTATATTTCATCCTAAATATGTGATTATATAATGTATATATATTATAATGTGTATATATATATATATATATATATATATGTTATTTACACATTTTTATTCTTCTTGCTACAGACCCAATACAATGGCCCAATAATGCTCCATTTCACATAGGCAGCCCAAGAGAACTCCAAGCCCAGTACAGCTACCCAATAACACGCGACCCGAACCCGGATCCAGGACCTTCTCCAAGCTGACCCGCATTAGCGTCGCATCCTTTGCTTCAGCCGATCCTCTCGCCCAAGCGCCATTTATCCAAACCCGAGTCCACCGCCGATCCTCACGGCGCCATCAACGACGTGGTTCCACGAGACTCCTCTAGAACCAACGAAACAAGAATTAGAGTTCGATTAGAACTCTATTTGCCCTAAAATAGTAAATTAATTTACTATAAATATTACGTGTAACACCATTTGCAAGGGAAGAGGGGAGAAGCAAAAATCCACGATTATACACTGGAGACAATACCCACGAAATACCCACACGATTAGACAGTGGATTGACACGAGTATTCACAGGAAAATACCTGAGGAAATACGAGAGAAAACTAAGGGATTTGGGGTCTCAAACAAGAAACGAGAGAAGCTCTCCCGGATCGTAAACCAAACAGAGATCCAATCAAGTCGATAAAGCGTGTAGACCAGGTGGTAGCAACTTCAACACAGAATCGGAAATAACGCAAACTGCCAATCTCGATTACAACAGTATCATCGTGGAGAGTCATCCACAACTGGATGGAACCAGCGAAAGTGGGAACAGAGAGTTATCCTGCTTTTATGGTTTGTCATAATGCTTGGACTTTGAGTAAGGCTCATGCTTTTTTATTTAATATTTTCCACTGATTGATTTGAAAGCACGTGGCCTCCATGCAGTTGATTTCCTTTTCTTAAACTTTGGTTTATATGCCATTAATTAGTGTAGTTAAAACATTGGATTAAAGGCCTCCTTATATTTATAATTAGGTGCCGTGTGTATCCTAACTTACTAACTTTGAGTAAATATGGCCATTAATCACCATTAAATCATATTTTAACTAAAGTAGCAATAATGGTATTAATTTGATTAATTCGGACATTAGTTGTTTTAATGGAGATAGTAACTAAAAGAATCATTCTTATGTTTGATTAATAAATTGATTAGAATTCTTCAAACAATTTGTTATTTGATTAATTCATTTGTTAGGTTAGACAATTAGTATTATTATTTCTATCATTTTATTTTATTTTATTTTATTATTCAATTAATATTTTTTACTCGATATTTTTCTTATTTACCATCTAACATTTTTGATTTTCCAGTAATAATTTTAATCGATCAGAGCTAAGCAATTCGAATCGGATTTTTAAATTCTAATTTTCGCAATTAAAGACAACCGATAAATTAATTGGTACCGAAAGGGCGGTTCAAGGGTGCTAATCCTTCCTTGACCGTAACCGACTCCCGAACTCGACGTTTCTGGTACAACGCAGATCAGGTAAGATGGTGTCCGACCCACCTAATTTCGTTTTAAAATGGTCGGTGGCGACTCCAATCCACATTTTCCAAGTCGAAGCCCAATTTCGGGGCCCAACCGAAAGACGGTTCCGATAGTTTGGCGACTCTGCTAGGGACAGGTAAGTGAGTCATGCCAAAATTAATTTTTAGTTGTCTTTTTATGCGAAAATAGTAAATTTAAATTTAAATTTATTTATTCGATTCCAGTTATTTACCTTTGATTGTTTTTGAAATAAATAGTTGTACTAACATTTTTTTCAATGATTTCAGATTTTTGAAAAGTTTCCATCTTTGGCTCTATACCCGAGCTCCGAACCCTTTTAAGTGGGGGTGAAAGCGACGCCTTCGTGTGAATTTATTCACCGTGCGGGCCTAGCAAGTAGCCTTCGGGATTCATATACCTTATGTCTTCGTGTGAATTTATTCACCGTGCGGGCATAAGGGAATGTTTCCTCTCGAGTTTAACTTAGTCCACATAAGCTTGTAATGGGCTTAGGACTAAGGGTCTGGCAAGCCCAAGGGGGCACCGGCAAGGAGAACTCGAGTACCTTTTTAGAACCTAAACCGGGAAAGTACAGGGAATTAGAGCCCACCCCAAAACCTCATTCCAAACCATAGGATGCTTTGTTTCCTGCTTTATTTTCTGTTCAAAGCATGCGAACTAGACAAATATGCGACTAAGATTTGTTTGAAATTAGCATGCGGGATAAAAATCATGTATGTGTAGGAATATTAAGCATGTTCGGGTAGATTATCATGTGGGGTAGGATTTTTTATTTTTTCCTTTTATTTTTTGTTCTATTTCATTTTGTTTTCATCATTCGCATCATTTAAAACGAGGTGTTGATCCACCAAAAATGTGTTTGTTAAACATGAATAATCTGCATTAATGGACAAAGGGATTATAATACAAAGAGATAAAAAGCACAGAAGCCCGGCCGTAGTCAAAGAATACTCGGAGGCAAAGGGTGCAGGGGCAAGACGAGGAAAATGTTACTGACCCGGAGAGTCCTTTCGAAAACTGCGAGATCAAGATGGCGAAACCCTAGCTAAGCTGGAGATCATTATTGATAAATTCTAGAAACAAGTCGATAAACTTTGGGTGGAGGGCTTCGATGGCACTTTCGTTTGGAACAAGCTCGACATAGAGTGAAAGTCGACGATGCAGTCTTTCGAGACCTTTTGGGGGCAAGCAGCTCGTTATTTGCATATTTTAGCCAAAGGAGTCGGAACGGTTTGACAGGGTATTCAACCAGTGACAAACGAAGGCAGAAGACTAGTCAACCTATCAGAAGCTGTTCGGGGTCTATGCCTTCAAAATATTTTTGTCTTTTAAGACGTAACACTTTTGCCCCAATAAGGATTATTTATAATAACAGGTACATTTTTTGGATCAATGCCTCGAACATTTCATGCATCATGCATTCAGACATATTGTGCATTTTGTTATTTTTCTTTACATTCGCATTATTTTTCCTTTTTTTACATTCACATGTCTCATCAAAAATGAGAACATTTTGATCCTATGACATATAAGGAGCTTTACCAACAGTTTTTTCACGCACACGTGGTGTCACCATATCCAGAGAAATCCATGAAGCCCCGTACCCCAGGTAGTATGATGATAACACTCATTGCGAAAATCATAGCGGAGTCCCAGGGCGCACTATCGAGAATTACTCCACAATCAAGAGAATCATACATAAAATATGTAACAAGAATCGGATCGACTTCAACAACTTGGGGGCATCCAAGTGAGGAAGATCATTTCATCATTTGAGGCATTCTGTTTGAATCTGTTTTTTCATTATTTCTCAAGTTTTTGTAAGGACTTTTAAATAAATTTATGTTGCTTTAATGATGGCAAGCAATGAATCACATTTGCAAACTTGCAATTCTTTGAATATCATCTGAATTAAGAAACTCTGTAAATGGTCCAAAGTTACAGATCTTTGACAAGTAACATAATCTGAAACAAGGACTTTAACCTTACCCAGAATATACACTCAAACACCGTACCCTGCTCTTGCAATTGACCAATGTAACCTTTTCCTTTCATAAGGTGCGGACAACGTGGGGCATCATTTGCATATGACATTACTATGCTTTTTTATTTAAGACGTTCAGTGATGATAATGATCTTCACAGATGGAATAGTCGAGTAAGTGAATCTAGTTTAGGTCAGTTGCTTGAAAATTGAACTCTAAAGATAAAATGTTTTACTTTCAACAAACACCTAGACTATAACAGGTTCTTCTTGACAATCTTAAGAAATTAAATCCGTAAAACTGAGCTATTCCACTAAGGCAATTGGTTACAGAGGAAACTCGAAAGCCCTGGCTTTATGAATAGATTGTATTCAAACCATGACATTGCTCGGACACTTGGCAATTCGGTGTTTGCTCCACTGCTTTTGTCAGGCCGAAGACTTTGTGATGAGATGAACCCTTAAGTTAAACCTGATAAAAGTGATTATAATGTTAAGATGTCCCTCTAAAGTAATTGGTTAAACGCCCCGACTTTATGGATTCAGCTAGCCAGACAATGGAAAATTAAATCAAATTTATCTGAGCAAGAAATTTTCGATAATGTTGGACTAAGGGAGTTAAGGAACACCTGTTATAGTCGACTACACACGAGCACTCAAGAATTTCATTTTTAGACCGATATTTTTTCGCACTGCCTTTGTTGGAGGAGCCTACAAAGCTTGAACAAATGGAAGATTTCAGAGGACCGAAATAAAAAGTCTAGTAATTGGTCATTCTAGTTGCGTCATTATGTCCGCACCCAAATGAAATGCCAAAACATATTTCGATATTTAAAAAAAATGACATTTTGGGTTACCAAAACCGTAGAAAGGAGGCCAACCTAAGGCCAACTCATCCATTTGAACATTTTTCAAAGAGTTGTGACTCTAAAAGCATTAAAAAAGCTCTTGATTCCTTTGATATTCTTTGAACTCACGTTTACAATTTGAGTCAATTGCCAACAATATTTTACAATATTTTTTCTCCTAAAAACAAGAAAAAAGAGAAAAACATTTTTCAAACAGAGTAGTCTCAGATTTGAAAGGTCTGTAAAGCCAAAGCTCGAGAAGATAATGGGGCACGATCAATTCCATGAACCAGATTAGCAGGCAAGACGCGGGACTTCAATCCAAGAAATAAATCATAATTCATTCATGATTGCATGCATCTTAGACATACCTAGGTGCATCACATCCATCATTTTCAGCATACATGATTTGTTACAGCCTTTAGAGCCAATTTCAACTTCACAACGAAGGATATTGGACTCCAGACAACGCAAGTTCAACTTCACGACGAAGGGACCGCTGGTTGTCAATAACCAACTTCTCAATTTCAGAGCCAATTTTAACTTCACAACGAAGGATATTGGACTCCAGACAACGCAAGTTCAACTTCACGACGAAGGGACCGCTG